AATTTTAATAACTCTTATATAACACTTATACAACTATATAATAGTCTTATATAATACTCTTGAATAATTTTATTTAACGTTCATCATTATTCTCATCGAATGTTTGCAACAAAAAATAATATGATAAGGACGTATTAAGTATCTAAAAATAAAAAACCAAAAATGCTTAGTCGAATGGGAATTAAAAATGATATGCAATTTATAATAGCAATATTTACCTTGATGAAAAGATCCAATGAAATACAAAAGAGGTGACATGCTGTCAATATAATTGGTTTCTGTACCAATATAAGAAGAACAGCTTTCATCAGTTTAATATTTCCATCTTGATACCATCCACAGCAATAAATACTTTGTCGGAATGCTTCACTCTGTATATATAAGAGAAATACTTGATATTAATACAACAAAAAAGAGTTAAAAAGAGAAGATGTATATTATTCGAAATAATGAATACCTCAACACCAAGAATACTTCCATACCAAGAATACAAAAATGCTTGGGTCATTTTCATCATCCCATAAATAAGAAATAGAATAGTTTTACCTATACTTATTTCTGTCTTTTCAATGAAAAATATGTTAAGTTATTATAGCGAAATGCTAATATGAAAAATAATATTTTTAATTCGCCACTAATTGATTAAAAGAAAGAAGAAAAGTATTGAAGAAAATGTTAATATTATCGATGAAGATCGTTTATATTATGAAGTATTAAATAAAATATATATCAATATCGAAATTATATATAAAGATAATTATTATACCTCAAACATTTGAAATATCAGCGCACATAGGACAATAACACTGCTCACTATTAAGCATAGCACAACTGGTCCATAAACATTCTGAATGATATCACGACAACGTAAAAGTAAGATCTGTCTTTTAATGCAGTTACGTAGAATGACATCGAGCTCCTTAGATGATTTTCCAAGATGCTCGCATTCGAAACACATGGCACGTAGAACTCCACTCATTTGAAATATGTAAAATCCGTAAACCGTATCGACGGCGCTGGTCACAGAAATCACGAACCAACCAAATATAATTTCGAAAAGAAATTGCGCTTGAAAAACCATATTCGGAGTTCCATCGATCCATGGAAAAGTAGCAGGATAGGGAAGAACATAATGTTTGGGACTGACGTTCTTGATAACTTGATAGACGATCAATAAAAACGGTCTAAATAAATACAGTAGTATTACAAACATGGTCAAATAGTAAACAATATATGCAGGACGTTTAAAAAGATTTAGCAATGACAATATAACAGGTCGATAATGTGTTTTTTTAAGCATTTCTTCGAACATCGATTCGAGATTCATATTCAATTCGTGTAATTGCTCTCGATATAAAAAGAACATCAGTGCCTGACAAAAAATTCAATATAATTCTCATTATTTCACATTGACGATCAAATATCTAACATACCTTTACAGCTACTAAAGCAAAACTTCCTAAAGGACTGAGTCCTTTCGTTAATACTTTTATATTATCAAGATTTTCTAGACAGAATTTCAATGAACCAAAAAACATAAAGGTTCCAGATAATACAGTGAAAATTGGTAAATATCGATAGAAACATAAGCTCCCCGTATTTTCCATAGGCCATAAACCGGCACATAACAGTATACGTTTTATAAAACACTCATATTTTCGATACGTTGCCAGTTGTTCTACCATCATCGAATGAAAAAAGATCAGCAATATAACGTGGGTTCAATGCCTCGTATATCGTGACAGAGTATCGCTTGTCACAAGCGATACTTGATACGATATCACATGCGATTTCTTAAAGATACATTTCCTACTCACTTCGATCCGCACATTCGTCATTTATGCGATCAATTTGGAAATATCGGATAGTTACAAAGTTTTACGTAACTCTTTAGGTAAATGTATGGTTGCATCGAAAATTGCTGGAGAAGCAAATGGTACTTTCTCATTAAATTACTCGATGATTTACAAGTAATACCCTTATAGACGTACCTTATAGACGTACTACATGGAACATCTTTTTGAAAGTGTATTTGTATGATTATCAAGGGTGATTACTCATCCACAAAACAAAATCTACTCAGTCGTTAGTAGTGCTCTGACGTTCTGATTTTCGATAACATTCAATTCAATCATCTAAATAGTGAATAAAGAAACAATATATCAAAACTGTAAGTTTATCTATAAAAGAATATTGCATATTAATATTAATTTATTTAATTTTGAAAATACCCACGTTTTACTAATGACAGATCAATCGGATGATTATTTCCTGATCTCTTCATGCATGATTTTGAGCCCTTAAATCAAAATTATTCAGAATGTTCTTTTAAATGTTTCTACCTAAAAAAAAAAAAACACGTATTCATATACATAAAATAATTATAAATAGATATTTTACGTCATTACATATACCATTTCATCGCTTACAGAGGATCAAGTGGAATATCCCGTCGTTATGCCATATTATTTTCAATTAAAAAATAAATTATTAATGTTTTATAAAAAAGATGATAATTTACAATTGCTTTAATATATCAGGTACAAAGTGAATATTATACAAATACTAATATAAATACTACAAAACAATACAAAATTATAATCGCGTGTGCTTTAACTTTTTATATCATATATTATACATAACGTACACATTGTGATATTGTTACAAATCATGTGCGCGTATATAATGCTTATACTATTTATTTTTATATAAAATTAAGAAATAAGACATATCAGGCCGATTTAATGTTTATCATTAGTTTCATCGAAAGTTTGCAACAAAAAGTAATATGACAAGGATGTATTCAATATCTGAAAAAAAAAAGAGAAAATTTATAAACGAATGAAAATAACAGTGATATCTGATTCATAATTAATGTCATTACCTTAATGAAAAGATCCAATGAGATATAAAATAAGTGACATGCCGATAGCACAATCGGTTTTTGTACCAACATAAGAAGAACACCTTTCATCAGTTCAATGTTTCCATTCTGGTACCATTCGCTACAATAAACACTACGTCTAAACGCTTCACTCTATATAAAAAAAAAATATTTTAAAAATAATATAATAAGAACGAACCTGAAAGAGGAAGTATATTATTTGAAACGATGATAATACCTCGGTAATTAAAATACTTCCATACCAAGAATACAAAAACGCTTGCGTCATTTTCACTATCCCATAAAGAAGAGCCACAGCAGCTTTAGCTATACTTATTTCTGTCTTTTCAATGAAGAATACGTTAAATTATTACACCAAATCGCTAATAGTAACGATGATATTTTTAATCCTCTAATACATTTACAAAAAAAAAAAAAAAAAAAAAGAAAATGTCAACCAACGTTTAGAATCTTTTAAATGCATTTTTTATTAGTATTAAATTCAGATGCACAATAAGTATTAATAAGAAAGTAATAAACAAATTTGTCGTACCTGTAACAATTGAAATATCAGTGCGCATAATATAACAACACTACTCAACATCAAGTTCAATACTACTGGTCCATAAATATTCTGAATTATGTCGCGACAACGAAAAAGTAGGATCTGCTTCCTTATGCAATTACGTAAAGTAATATCGTGCTTTTTAGACGATTTTCCAAGCTCTTCACATTCCAAAGACATTGCACGTAGTATTCCGATCATTTGAAATATATAAAAACCATAGGCTGAATCAACTCCACTGGTCACAAACACGATGAACCAACCCATTTGAATTTCGAAGAGAAACTGTACTTGATATCGTATATCGAGACTACCATCGATCCATGGGAAAATGGAAGGATAAGGAAGAACGTAATGTTTGGGATTTATGTCCTTGATAACTTGATAACCGATCAATAAAAAAGGTGTACACGTAAGCAAAATTATTGTGATTATTGTCAAATAGTAAAAAATATATGCAGGACGTTGAAAAAAATTGAGCCATGAAAATACGACAGGTTGATAACATACTTTTTCAAGTACTTCTTCGAACATTAATTCGAGATTCAAATTCAGTTCGCGTAATTGCTCTCGATATAAAAAGAACATCAGTGCCTTAAAAAAAAATAAAAACAAAAAAAAATATAAAATTCAATGTAATTCTTATTATTTAATATCGACGAACGAATATCTCACATACCTTCACAGCTACTACGAGAAAGCTTCCTAAAGGACTGAGTCCTTTCGTTAATACTTTAATATTATCAAAATTTTCTAGACAAAATTTTAATGTACCGAAAAACATAAAGATTCCAGATAATACGATCAAAATAGGTAAATGCCGATAGAAATATGAGCTCTCTTTATTTTCTACAGGCCATAAACCGGCGCAGAAAAGTATACGTTTTATGAAAGACGCATATTGACGATATATAGACAATTGTTCTGTCATTTTCGAAAGAAAAAAGATCAGTGATGTAACGTGGGGTCAATGCCTCGTATATCGTGACAGAGTATCGTTTCTAACAAGCAATACTTGATACGATATCATATGCGATTTCTCAAAGGTACATTTTGTACTTGCTTTGTCGCGCACATTCGTCATTTATGCGATCGATTTGAAAATATCAGGTAATTGAAAAGTTTTATCTAACTCGTTACGCAAAATGTACTGTCGTTTAACAGATTGCTAGAAGAGTATGAATTTGCAGCTCGTCTGTCAGATCACTCGATGATTCAGAAGAAATAGCCTGTTTCCTAATAATCAAATAACATAGATTGAGTCTTGCTAAAAAATAATGGATTAAATATGTATTACGATATGTGATATTATTTAATTGTCTCGTATAGGCGTCATATTAGGAATTGTAATTTCTTTGGATTCCTGTAAGTAAATTTCAATTAATTTTATATACTATACATATTACTTACATAATAAATTATAATTGTAATAATGTAATTACTATTATTTGAGTTTATTTGACTGAAAAATAACACTTTTTTAAACTATTCCTGTGAATAATTTAAAATAGTTTTCACTTATTTAATGGAAAATTTTATCGCACTTTTATCTTAATTATAATTCATATCTAATATCAACATCTGCATAACTAATGAAAAAGTTCTTTTATTACTCCTTATTATATCATCTAACTAATAAAATAATTATTTGATAATTAAATGATATTTGAATGATATCTACAAATTTATACTATTACAGAGATATAGATAAAAATTTATAACAAATTAACGTACATTCATTTCTTCGAATGTTTGTAATAAAAAATAATACGATATTGACGTATTGATAATCTGAAAAATAAGTCATATATAATCTTAGACTTATTTTATGATTTACATCAAGTATGACGTATAAGATCGTAAATATTATGGTTACCTTAAGAAACATATCTAATGAGATAGAAAAAAAATGACATGCTACCAATACCATTGGTTTTTGTGTTAATATAAGAAGAATCTTTTTCATAATAGATAAATTACCATATGCGTACCATTTGCAACAATATATCTTTCTGCGAAAATTTTCACCCTGATACATGATAAGATTTAAATAAAAACGGATAAATTTAAATAAAAGATAAAAAATTTTTTAAAACTATAAGTATAAGTATAATGTAAGTACATATTTACCTCGGATATAATGATGCTTCCATACCAAGCATACATAAAAGTTTGTATTCCTTTCATTACACCATAAACAACGAATAAAAGAGTTTTTGACACTGTCATTTCTGTCTTCAACGCATAAGAAAAGTATATTTTTCTAATTCGAAATACATTATGAAATAAAATATATAACAGATATTTATTAAAAAAAAAAAAAAAGAAAAAAAAAATAGGAAAAGAAAAGTATTTTCTTATTAAGAGAAATATTATTGCATAAATTGATTTTACCTTAAATATTTGGAACGATAGTGCACATAAGACCGTCGCACTGGTCAAGACCAAATTGAATACGATCGGTCCGTAAACATTTTGAATAATATTGCGACAGTGTAAAAGTTCAATGTGTTTTTTAATGCAATTATGAAGAATATTGCGTAAATCCTCAGCCGATTGCGCGAAATATTCACATTCGTAAGATAAGGCTCGAAAAAGTCCGACTATTTGAAAGATATAGAATCCAAATAAAGAATCAACACTGCTTGTTACAAATATGGCGAACCAACCAAATTGTATTTCGAAAAGATATTCTATGTGATAATATATTCCAGGAGTCCCATCGATCCATGGAAAACTCGTTGGAAATGGAAGACCGTATCGTCTAGGACGTATATCCTTGATTGCTTCGTATCCTATGAATATAAGCGGAGTACAGATATATAATAGCAAGGTACTAGTAATTAAAACGTAAAAAATATAAGTGAAGTAACGAAAGAGATTCAATAGTGACAAAAGTATAGGTCTCAGTCGTGGATTTTCAAGTGTTTTCTCGAACATTGGATCAAGGATACCGTTCAGTTCACTAAGCTGCTTTCGATATATAAAAAACATCAGAGCCTTAAAGGAACGAAATCAATACGTTATTCGACCCATACATTTCAGCATTGACAATCCAACGTTTGAAATATGAAATGTACCTTCAATGATATCAAAGAGAAACTTCCTACGAGGCTTAGACCTTTTGTGAATAGGCCCAAATTTCCGATATTATCTTGACAGAATCGCAATACACCAAGAAACATAATAACACCCGATGATACGGCTAAAATTGGTAACTGCCGATAGAAATAAGAACTTTCTTTTCTTGTCGTCGGCCATATTCCAGCAAGAAGAACCAAACGCTTAACGAAACGAGCATAATTTCTATAGAGCTCTACTTGTTCTGTCATTGTCCTATAGAAATAGCAGCAATTCCGAGCAAATTGGTATCTATCGTACCAACGAATAGTCAACGGTAACAGTTTTTCAACTGCGCCAACTTGTGGCTACTCGTTTGCAATTTTATAAAATTACATTCGGCGATTTTCCTGATTCCCGCGTGATACATTCTTAATGTATGTAATCGATTTGCAGCTATCAAGTAGTTAGAAAGTTACGTATCCTAGAACCGTAGAAGAGAATCAAACTGACCATACAATTTAGTAAACGTTTGAACTACAGCGATTACGTTCTCGACCGTTCTCGTTATGATCAAGTTGCGAGAATAGATCAAAAATAAGTATGTCTCTAATATTCGATCAATTTTCAAGACCTAATATATAAAAAATATATGTTTGTAGCATTGAACTTTATCTATTTCGTCCTTTATATCCTAAATAAATCCTAAATCTGGATTTGCTCCATCATTATCTTCTATGTTCATAATAATATAATTAAATCTATATATCAAAGTGTTCGGTCAAATTGTAAAACTACGAAAAGGAATATGATATTAATAATTACGAAAATATTATGATGTTAATGATCTTTGAAAAACAAATGGCTTCGAAAATATTATATATGACAAATATATAATGTAAGGTAAGATTGCTTTAAAGATATATCTATACTTATCGATCATATAATAGACGCGTACTAAAAAAAAGATCAATATTGTTTTTTTTTTAATGATTCTATGATATTTTTTTTAAACAATCTTCAATTTCATACTAATTACTATATAGTATAGTAATATTGGTATATAGTACTTTACTATATTTCTAGTAATTTTGTTCATATACAAGATATATCATATAAACATATACATACTTATATTATAACAATATCTTAAATTTTATCTAAATACTTTCAAACTATTTGCACGACATTAAATAAGAAGTTGATGAATTCACTACTCATTTGATTTCAAGCCAAACTTGCTCTTGATTCAAGAAAAAAGTTTAAGAACTAACTATGTCTTGATTCATTGTATTACGTTCGTCAAATGTTTGCAATAAGAAATAATAAGACATTGATGTATTAATGATCTAGAAATTGAAAGATATACTTTGTTATCTGTTTTTTAAAAAGTATCAATTTGAAAGACAAAATTTTCCAATAAATGATATCAAGTATATAATTGTACCCTTTTTTTTACCTTAATAAAGATATTCAATGAAATATGTGAAAAATGACATGATATGAGTACAATCGGTTTTTGCGTTAATATTACCAAAACATCTTTCATAAGCATTGTATTTTCGCTGTATTCGTACCATTTGCTGCAATATACACTTCGTTGAAATGCTTCACTCTAAATGTAAATCAATATGAGAAATTATGATAAATATTAAATAAAGAAAAAAAAAATATATATATATATATATATATTTTACATGTATATATATATATATACATGTAATAACATGTGGGACTTACTTCATCAGTGGACAGAAGGTAATAAAACAATGAAAAAATTTCATATAAATATGCGATTTATTTGAGTGGAAGTAAAAAACGTAGGATCAAATAAGCTACATGTTAATATGAATTTTTTTCATTGTTTGGTATCTCTTGCCCACCGATGAAATAGGTCCCATATTTTATGAAACATCCTATATATATATATATATATATATATATATATATATATTTTTTTTTTTTTTTAATAGGATAACCATACATACTTCTGAAGCAATAATACTTCCATACCAGGAATACATAAACGCTTGAATAGTTTTCAATAATCCATAAATCACAAATATAAGCATTTTACCTATAGTCATTTCTGTCTTAATAACAAAAGTATATTTTTATATATGAATAACACATTAAATAAAATAATAAATATATCAAACTGTAGCTAACTTAAAGGGGGGGAAAAAAAAATAATTATTTACCTGAAGCGCTTGAAATATTAGGGCACACAAAACGATAGCGTTAGTCAACATTAAGTCAAGCACAATGGGTCCATAAATTTGTTGGATAATATCGCGACAACGTAATAATCGTATTTGCTTCTTGATGCAATTATATAAAGTAGTCTTAAGTTCGCTAGAAGATTTAAAAGTGTTTTCACATTCGAAGGACATAGCACGTAACAGGCCAATCATTTGAAATAAATAAAATCCATAAGATGAATCAACACCGCCCGTAACAAATATAATAAACCAAACGCATTGTGTCTCAAACAAAAACTGTATTTGATAAATTAATCCGGGTGTTCCATCAATCCATGGAAAATTTGTAAGAAATGGAAGACTATAATGTTTCGGTTCTACACCTTTGATTCCTTCGTATCCAATTATTATAATTGGTGCAAAAATATACAAGCTCATAGTGCCCAATATTAAATAATATACCATATATGCTGGATATCGGAATAAATTCATCGTCGATAGAACGATGGGTCTAAATATCGAATTTTCAAGTACTTCATTGTACATTAATTCGAGCGTACTATGTAGTTCATAGAATTGTTTTCGATATATGATGAACATAAATGCCTGAAAGAAATAAAAAAAAAAAAAAAAGAAAAAGCATTATAAGTTCATTAGTTACATATTTGAATATCGATTAGGCTTACCTTAACAATCATCAAAGAGAAACTACCAACCAAACTTAAGCTTTTTGTAAAAACACTCAAATTGTTAATATTATATAAACAAAATCTCACTACACCAAAAAACATAATAAAACTAGTTAATAACGTTAAAACGGGCAACTGTCGATAGAGAATAGAACTTTCGATCATAGGATATATTCCTCCAAGTAGAAGCATGCGTTTTACAAAACGAGCATAAGCTCGATATATTTCCAGTTTTGTCATCGTTATACACAAACAGTAGCAATTTCTCTGAAATCAATGTCTAACGATACGGTAAAGATACAGTCGAAAGTAACGTAACGACTATTCGTGATTTCATAAATTTTCATTTGATAAGTATGATAGCGTACATATACGTAACGTTTCGTATCCGTACGCTAAATGTATATGTATACGATCGATATAGAAACATTTAGTAGTTAAGAAAATCTTTGCAAATCGCTGTTCATATCTATTTTAAATAAAGAAACTCTAGGAGGATCCAATTTACCATATACGTTGGTCTGTAATACGATCTCAGTTCGAACAAATCTATTATCTTACCAACTTATATGGAGATTGAACGAATAAAATGATTTCAACCTACATTGAAAGTATTTCTAAATTTTACTTAAAAACTACAGCATATTCCGATAATGAAATTCCTTAAATGGATTTTATGTCAACATTTTTTTTAATTTTTTGTAAGTATATAAAAATAATTATAATATACTTTGGTTCAATTATTACGAGAAGGCACATAACTTTTATATTCTATATAAAATAAAGAAATTAATTATAACAAAATATAAGAATAATTTAAAATAATCACTTAAAAATATTATTACGATTAGTGGCAGTTTCTAATTGTTAATAATCAAAAGATGTGACATACTTTTTAGTTAGTACAGTAATATGATTAAACAAATTAACATAATCATATTTAATCTGTCAACGTTATATATATACTCCTCTTTCATTTATTTTTATAAAAATATATCAATTTAAACCTTTGTATTTTGTAAAAAGATTATATAAAACACGAAGTGTGGATTTCAAGTCCAAATTTACAATGTCTGTAAAGATAAGAAAATAATTAAAACATAAAAAATTAAAATATTAATAAATATTTTAATAAGTTACTAACCTTCGGGTCTTGCCTTAGGTTTAGGTAATCCTATATCTTGCATAATATCAAACGCAAAAGAAACATTATGAACTTTTTGATCATGCGTTTTTGGTGTCAAATGAAAACTACCTAATGGAACAAAAAATCCCTCCAAGAGTCCTAGTAATAATGTCAAAAAGACTCCATCATGAAATTGTGTATCAAGATCTGTTACTTCCAAATGCACTTTGCTTAAATGTTTATTAGCAAAAGTAATCAAAGACTGCAACAAAAATATTATAATTAGATATTTCAAATGATTTATATAAAACGTCTTCAGAATAGATAAACTTACTTTTTTAACAACTGCAAGTTTATCTGGTGCATGATCGAATAATGTGTCAAATGCATCTCTTTCGCAACGCATCCCTAGATCATCATAAATAGAAGTAATTTCTTCTCGTACCGTTCTATGCATTAATTGGCCATCTTTTTTTTTCACCACTACCATTTGAACTGCTACTCTTTCTGGTAATCTGACAGGTGCTCGAAACTGTCGTGCTAAACCAACTAATATATGTAAGATAGGGACAATATTTTTTGAACGAACAGATTCAACACTCCATTTATAAGGTGGATATCGTCCCAATATACGATTTATAGCTCCTAAAACAACAGCCAACTTTTGTTTCTGCCCTTCTTCTGATTGTGTAACTTCCGGTACATCTAATTTCTCTCCAGTCAATTTCTCTAAAAATAATTTCAACTTTATTTTATATTAAACATAGATATAGTAATAATACAAAAAATAGAAATAAAAACAATGAAAATTTTAAATAATAATCATACCTAAAAGCTTTTGCAATACTTGTCCATCATATAGATCTTCTACGATATCTTTTACAATAATACGTTGATTAGCTAGTTCATCATTAATCCATTCTAATAGAACATATATAAGTTCCTGAAGTTTTGAATCTTCTAATGATCTTGGTTCTATCATTGAACGTTCCTCATTCTCATCGAGAGCATATTCTTCTGGTGGCATATCGGGTGTAGCAGCATATCCAGGAGAATCAATAGCATATTTACCTTCTTCTTGAACTTCTTGCACTGAAACAAAAATAAACTTTATAACATAATATTAATATTATTATAGTAATTAATATTATTATAGTAATTAGAACATAATATTAATATAGTAATATATATAAATAATTAATATCGTTAATATTAAAGTAATAATAATAAGTGTACGTATCAATCAATTATTATATAAATAAAAATTTATATAAATAAAAATTTATATAAACAAAGATTATAACTTATAATTTATGTATATATAAATAAATGAGACACATATATATATATATATATATATATATATATATATTTATATATATATATTTATATTTATATTATATATATATATATATTTACTTATATATATTTAAATATTTATTTATATAAAAATTGATTGACATATCCGACATAGCAAGTAAATATAAATAAGTAAATTTTTTGTACAATATTTATTTGAATATGTATTTATTTGAATTTGTTTTTTTATTGAATATGTTTTTTTATTGAATATGTATTTGAAATGTTAATATATACGAATCGTCTCCAAATAAGGAAAGTATTTAATGTATAGGTATGATGTCATGTACAATTTTATATATCCAAGTCATACCTTCTTTGATTCTTTTTTTTCGACCAAGAGTTCCAATTTTATCCCAAAAACTTTCTTCTTTTTCATCTTTTTTAGATGAAATTGGAGGCCGAGGCGATTTCGGACGAGGGGATGCCATTATCCCAATTTTATAATTTATATCTATAATAAAACGTAATATAACATTTACTAAAATTTTCTATACTAACAATAACACCACCGATCGCTAATCATTTATGATCATACAGTAAACTCAGACGATCGTTGAGTTTGGTTGAAATAGAACGCAATATTGTGCGCCCGCGCGTTTTATTTTTCCAATTTTCAAAAAAGGCGCGTATTTTGAAATGATATTAAACTTTTACCAAAATAACTAACAAATAATCATTTTAAAAAATGTCAAATTGCTACTAAAATTAAAATATATATCAAGGAATAAAAACTTACCTTTACATTGTTCGTTAGTATGTTTTTGATTGTTTTCTATGTCTAATGTAATTTCTTTTTTGACGTCATACTGTATTTCATACTTCTTACATTCCTTTTTACGAATAACTCCAATTACTTTGGGAAGATCTGTTGTTTCAGAAAGAATCATTTCGTTTTGACAACTATCGCTAATTAACAAATCTTTTTCTTCTTCCATTTTTAACGATATTATTATTTTTAACGATATTATTATTTTTTTTTTTTTATATTTATATCCTCTTAAACAAAATAATATTTAATTTCTTTTAATGAAATTCGATTAAAAAATAATTCGTAATTTTGTAATTACACGATAGATTACTTGAATTCTTACTTATACCTTTTTCAACCGAATCAGTTATGACGGTCAAAGGAAACTTAACATCCGCATATGATAAGAGATTATTGTTCGATTGTGGTTTTTTACAAGCATTAGTAATTTATTCAAAAAAACGCGCGAATCGTTTATCAAATCATTCATTTGAATTATTCGAAAAGTTATCTAAAAAACAACAATATTGAATCCATCGTATCATATTCTATCGTTTATACAAAATAAATAAAATATTGATATAATCAGTAATATCATATTATTGATAATATTAAATTATTTTTTTCCATAGCTAATATATTATACTTAAATAAAATATTTTTTTCTTTATTATTTTTTATTCTTTCCAAAAAAACGTGGCAGATGGCAGTGAAATAGTATAAATGGTAATCTAACCTATTTCAAATATTCGAATAAGAAAATGATATGAAGTGCAAATTTAATTGTAAAAGAGTAACAAAGTTTTAACTAAACATAGTTAATAATTATTTCTGCTAACCTATAAAAGTATAATATAGCACTTTTAATATGTTGATATTTATACGGCGTTATGAAAAAAATATAATTTTTCGATTGTCGAAAGTATTTAATTCGACTTCAACATCGAATCAAACAGATACAGAAACTAATACAAAAGGTATGTTTTATTATATTATAATTTAATTTTAAATTCATAAGAACTTCTTTTATCGGTGCTAAATTTTAATAAATTTTTGTATTCGTAGAATTTCGTGTATTAGAATTAATACCACGGAAAAATAAAATTAACAAAGTACAGAAACAAGACAATTCACTGCCTCCAAGATGTGACAAAATGTCTTTTGATCAAGATTGGCCATCAGTTTGGTCTGGTGCTCGTTCTTATAATCCCCACATTGTTCCACTTCCTTTATACCAAGGTTATGTAAAAGGTAAACAAAAACCTCCTGGTAAATATGGAAATGCAGAACTTTTAAAAATACCTAATTTTTTACATCTTACACCACCTGCGATAAAAAGACATTGTGAGGTCTTAAAACAATTTTGCACTAGCTGGCCTAAAGAATTAGATACTGACGAAGAATGTAATCGACATTTTCCACTCGATATAATTACGTCAGATTATTGTTATTCTTCTCCTACAATAAGAGAGCCACTTGCAAGAATTGTAAGCTTAAAAGTAAATTTAAATTCTCTTATCTTGGATAGTCATGCTAAAGATAAACTACTTAGATTAGTTGGAAATAAATATAATCCAGAAACAAATATAATAACAATAACAGCTGATAGATGTCCAACCAGAAAACAAAATTTGGAATATATTGAATATCTACTTGTAGCATTATTTCATGAATCCTGGGTAAGTCATAAAATATAATATTTATAGTTTCCTCCATTCTTTATAAATTTTTCTATAGATTCTACACAGAATTTGTAACGATCAATTCTTTACAAATACTTATTAATAAAATGATATATTTAGCGTATCGAAGCTTGGGAAGCTGAAAAATCTGAAGCTGATATGGAATATTATGATTGGGATAAAAGTAAAAGTCGTCAAAATTTGATTGCATTACACAGCTGGCCAGAATCATCTACTGATGTAGATGTTGAAACTATTCCTTCTGGTGTAGAATATAAGGTTGCTGTGTCAGAACTCATAAATCAAGGAGAAGATCAATATGCATTAAACAAATATAAAGAAGCAGTCAAAAATATACTTCATCTGAAATGTATTAATCGAAATTAAAATAAAAAGTTATATACGAAATTATGTATGATAAAATTTTGTTAATTTTATATTATTGTCATTTTATTAATTTAAAATATTGTAAAACTATATATAATTGTTACAAGATATAAAATTATATAATTTCAATGACAATATTATAATTTTATAATTTAATGACATTGAACTTACTTTCTCTCACTAATATTTTATGTTAAAAAGAAATGTCTGTTTTTATTTCTTAATCAACTAAGAAATACAAAAATATGAAATAAAATCAACAATAGAAGAAAAAATAATACTATGTATATACGCAGTTAACAATGCATGTAATACGTATGACCGTCACAGTATATTCGGTCACGGTATATTCCAATTACTATAAATTTATATATAATTAGAATACATACTGCATGACCAACAACTAGAGCATGTAATGATTTGAAACAACACAATTATGCACAATGATACGCATTAAATGTATTTATAAATATATGTACATTTCAAAAAATCTGTACTGTCCACTAATACTCGATATGTGGAATCATACAATATAAGGAGAAAAATTGAAAGAAAATTTGATTCTTTAGGAATAGAATGCTACAAATAGTAATTTTAATAGTATTAGAATTATCTTGTTTTATTGTTGATTCTAAAGAGGAATCGTATATTTCTTATCTACCGAAAAATGTCAACAATCCAAATTTACGTTTTTCAACAGTGAATAATCCATCATCTTGCAAAAATCTTGCTATTTGTTACCTGAACGAAATGTTTGATATAACATATAAAAAAAAATCGGATATGCATTTTCCATCTATTCAAAAAGAATATGGTAAAAAAGAAACCAATCTTCAAGCAAGAAGTTATTACAATGGTTTCGGAGTACCTGCTACAGCTACGTATTATCCGTAAGTTAATGTTTTAATATCTTAAAAACTCATCTACATTAATCATTTCTATAATATTTTTGGATACATGTAAAAGTGTGCTCATACTTTAGATTTATTACACTTTAATGTATTTCATTATGGATATTTTATTTCAGTGCATATAAACACATGTTAGAATTTAATTATATAAATAAAAATTTAATATTTTAGCATCCGAGCTAAAAGAATCATGTACATATTTCAGGATTTTTGATCCCATTACTGTTTTAGCATCATTAGCATTTTTAGCATTTTTATTGCAATCCTTTGCATCGTTATTTGATCATTCAAGATCCATTGTACCAACAATAATTAATAGTCGTGAATCATCTTCACAATTGAAAAATGTGGGAATTACAAGACGTATACTACATGCATTGGATAATTATGTAAGTACCTTTTCATTTTTACTTACACAGACATATTAATTAATGTTAATTATGTTAACATACCTGTGCTGCAGGAGAACCTTAATGAAGGCTCAATTGAAGACGATCAAATAAACACAGTACCTATATAAGCTATTACAAGATAAAATATATTTATAAAAAAAATATAAAAATATTTTACTAAAACACAGTATATAATATTTATACAGATAGTACTTAGATGTAAAAAATTTTATAATTATAAAAATTATCATTCGCAAAGAAATCTAATGCATTATAATAATGCTTGTATTAAATTTTTTTGTTCCTTTTCTCTTTTGTATTTAATTTATTCTTGACATTGTTATTTATAAAATATTAATTTCGTCAAAATTATACATATTTTTACATATTCTATATTGTCACACTCAAATGTCAACTCATAATAATATATCATTATATACAACTATTTTAATCAACATTAGGTAATTTATTGGATTGTACATTTATAAATTTTTACATTATTAATACTATGAAACTGCACATAATATATATAAATATAAGTATTATGAAATATGCATATAAAGAAATATTAAAGCTATAATGTGCAACTTATGTAATAATAATCTACAGAATGATACTTTATTGTTAATACATTGAATGTGAAAAATAATATGTAAGCAGCATCAAATAATAAAATATTTTCTTTCAAAGAATGATAATGAACTATATTTCAGTCTTATCTCCGAATGTAATATTTGAATTTAATTATAGCAGCCATTAATTAATTTTGCAGATAAATAATAATTATCTAATTCACTTTAAAAATTTCAAATTTATTAGGTTATAAAGAAAATTATTTTTATAAATTAAATAAAAGATGTTATTATGTATATTTAAGAAGTATATAAATACAATATATGAAGTAGAATTAATATAAAAATTCTATTGATATGTTAAATTCATTGTCAATAAATTTAAAATTTTCTCATCATGTTACTATAATCATGTCTGTATTAAATTTCATTACCAACATAGTAAATAGAAAATATATATGTATACCAACAAACAAATTTTGCTTTATTACATACATATAAAATTTACTTCAATGTACTAACTTTTTTATAATTATTATTACAATCATGTTTTAGGTGGAGTTGATGTACATCTGCAAAAATAAAAATCACAATTTTATTGGAGTATATTGAAATTATATGACTATGAGCATCCATTAATATCTCTTTAACCATAGATAATTTTGAATATATTTCCAAAGAATTACTTACTTCTGTCTTGGTTTTTGATAAGGATGTGTAGACCCAAGTCCACGTCTTTCTTTTGTTCTTAGTAACTTTAATGGTATATCTCCTGATGTTATTTTAGATTGTTCTTTGAAGACACATGGCGATGCTTTAATCTTATCCACTTTTAAGTTATTTAGAATAGCAATACTTTTAGCACTCATAACAGAATGTTGTTTTTGTGTATGCTTGTTCTCTTTACCTGGTGATCCTACCATATGACTGAAAATTTTTTGTTTTTGTGACAATTTCTTGAAATGTTTTGAAGACATTTTATTATTTGTATGATTTCTATCTGAAAGTATATGCTTTTTTGCTTTATTCTGTAAGGGTGATGAATCATTTAAATTATTTTTATTTATGTTTTGTATTGAGTTCTGTTCGGTATTTATCATTGAAATGGTTTCATTTTTTTCATCTAATGTAATGGTTGTATTTAAAACTTCTACTGTGTTTCCAGTATCACAAGTGTTTAAATTAAAAGTTGTACTTAAAACGTCCTGCGTACTTCGTCCAGTATGCTCTCCTTCACAAATAACTGATTCTGTAAATATTGGCACTTGATTATTAAGGGGATCTTTTAACTGAGGTATACTTAAACACGATAAGGTATAAAAATCTTTTTCTTCGTCAATCATTTCTGAATCAGACCATTTAATATTTCTAACACCTTCAAGTGATTTAATTAACTGTTTAAATTCTTCTTTCATGTCCTTTGTCATTATCCCATAACCACACATCATACTATAATAACTTTGTAATGTTGGACTTAATAATTTAATTATACTGCACGTAGAATGTAATTCACATTGTTGTAAACTAGAAATTTTCTTAACATGTTCGTATTGCTGTTGCATTATGCATTTATCTATCTCTTGAATTTTAGCAGCATTTATGTCTGTCAATTTTTCATTCATATTTTTATATAAAATCTCTGCATTTATTTTTTGCATTTCTTCTTCTACTGCACATAATTCTTTCCAGATTCCTTCCATTTGTGTTTTTAAGGAATTCCGTTGTCGCTTAAAATAATCTAAAGATTTGTTTACTCTTGTTTTTCCACTTGCATTTTGTTCTTCAGAAGATAAAATATTCACAGCTGCTGTTAAATTATGTAGCCTTTGATCGGCAACCTTTTTATAATGCATTCTACAGCATAAAATCTTGTCTGCACTTTCCAAAGATAACATCTTATCGCTTAATGATTTTTTCTTATTAAACAGGTCCAATAATTTATCATTTATTTCTGATGAATTATCATCTACCTTTTCAATAACTTTGGTTTCCTTTGATTCAGTTGATATTTGTACTAAACCACTTTCATAAGCTACTAACTGTTGTTTTAAGAAATTAATTTCCTTCTTTTGTTCCTCTACTATTTTAATATAACCAGATATATACATTTCGCAAGATACAATGTTCTTCTTAATGCATGTCTTAATTTTCTTAGCTCTATTTGCATATCTGAGGGTGTTATAAGTATCTTCATAATTGATATTAGAAGGTGATATATTAGCAATCATGACAGTTTGGCAATTACCACCAAGAGAATCCTTTAATAGACGAGTGAGTTTTGAATCTCGATATGGTATATGCCTAACACCATCAGCTAAATTATTAATACAGTTTCCAAGTGCCAATAAAGACTTATTTATGTTGGCACCTTCTTTAAATCGAGCTCCTTTACATCCTGTAACTGATGCTCTTTCGGATCCAGCTAAATCAATCATAGACAGTTTTACATGTCTGATCTGACCATTCAACTTATTAGTAATTTGAATATAAACTTGAAAAACTGCATGACTTCGACTGCTTTCTTGATTTGCATCTGTAGGATGTTGAGTACGATTTTTATTACCCTTTGCTAATAAAGATAATAATTCTTCTGCATTCTGTATAGGAATAATTTTAAGTCCTGCTACAATAACTTCACATCTACTGTCTTCTCGTAAATGCAATTGTTCAGACTTATGTAACAAATCTTGAACATTTTCATTATAAATTTCTAAATACGAAACACCTAAATTAAATTCATAATGTCTACTTTGACTTTCTATTTGAGAAAAAAGTTCTGCTACGGTACGATAAGTTATACCAGGATCATTTGTGCTACCCAACATGGTATGAGTTTTCCCAGCACCCGTTGCACCATACGCGAACACAGAACAATTATAACCATTTAAAAGACTAGATATTAAATCTTTTGTAGTTCCTTCGAATATATCGTTATTTGTAGAAGATTCACCAAAAATTTTATCAAAAATAAATTGTAATTCTTTGTTTTGTTTTTTTAGTAAATCACGACCTTTCTGTACAACGCCTTGATAATAAAAAGGATTTTCTTTTTCCTTTGGGTCAAATATTAACATTTTGTCATCAAGAATATTTACTATTGTCTTAGAATTAAGTTGCAACTCGTTAACATTATGTGGTCGAACTCGTATTATTACTTTAATATTTGTCTCAGATTTACTCTTGTTTTGCGATAATGATGCGACGCTTCCACTTGTACTTACTTTTGACACATTTCCAGACAATCGTTTTTTAACAAATTTTCTTACTTTGTTCGGCGAAAATGCCTTAGTTTGATCTTTCTTATTGTATACCATAATGATTAATCCGAGAAAAATTATTCTTAATAATCTAACACTTTTTCAGCGATATTTCGTACAAACGAAAAAATAATCTTCATTAACAGTTTAACTGTATCAATAATGTTCGTCAATTCTTATTCAAATTCCATTAATACTTTTAAAGAGGTAATATCTCTTTCTCTCTCTCCCTATCTGTTCTTCTCAAATTCTTCATTTAATTGCACTAATTATATAAAAAATGTATTACGTTTCACTCAATTTTTCATCATTAACTGCTGTGAACCGTTAATACTATACGCTAAGCTTTAAAATTCAAATCGGTGCAGTTCTGCCAATCTTATATTGTATTATCGAAAATATCTATATCACGAATTACTATAAAAATATCTGGTAATATTCTACTTATTATATAGAAAATCAAGAAATTTTTTCTTTTGACATTAACACCAACTAAAAGATATTAGCGGTTTATATTCAATAAGAAAACGTTAAAAGTTTCAAGAATTATTCTATAAATGACATTTAATTAAGGAACAATATAATGAACATAAATATAAGTTCCTTCTCTATTTACGTTAAAAATATTCATTTATAAAATTTCATTTTGTATACAAATAATAAATATTTAATTATAAAAGTCATTTCTAAAAACTTCTAGATTTTTATCACTTCCTGAAATATCTGACCAATGATCACGTACTTCCGGTACGGTAGTATTTAAGTAAGATTTTTGAAATTAAACGGATCTTGAGCATAGTAATAGAGATCAAACCAAACAAAACGGTTTTTGAAATTTAGTTGAATGAAGTGATATTCATATATTGAATCATGGATTGGTTACATGTTATTATTGAATGGGTAAGAAATTACCTTAAATTGTCTATAAATTAATTAAAATTTGATAAAAAATGAATTCTGATTTATATTTAAATTTACTATCATTATTTTTAATAATTATGTTTATATTTTTTACAAATTTAACAATTAAAAAGATTATAACATTTTTATGTGATTTTCTTTAATTATATTTACTATAATTCTTAATTCATACGTTATATTTCAGATTAATTGTTTAAATGTATTAGAAACACCAATTACAGAAATACAAGAATTACAAGAGAAACAGTTGTATGGACAGTTAATTAAATCATTGTAAGTATCATCTGCAATACAAAAGTTATATACTTTGTTATATAATAAATTTTACTCACAAGTATAAAATATATATTAATTGAGAGCTACAAGAGATGTCAAGTATCAAATTGTTCTTATTTGTATATTAAATGTAATCATTGTTTATAGGTCTTTGAGGAAAGA